TTTTCAGGTGAACTCTCTTCCAGACCAAGAGTGTGGTCGGAACGTAAAGACATATGATGATGAAGACATACAAAAAAGTGTGTGGAGAACTTTCGTAAAGTGAACCTCTCATATATGGCTTTCATAGTGTTTGTCCGAGAGGAGATTAAATTGAATCACCTTGAAAGTATATCTGTGAAGAGGGCTTTACGAAAGAAACCCATAACCAGAGATTCATATATTTTTATCTAAACTAGGGTCTTTATCTTCTTATAAGGGTATGTCCCTATATTTAATTGCATCTTAAGTAACTATAACTACTCAAGAAGACTCTCGATTAAGGTTGTGATTTTGTCTTCAAGAATTTGAATTGAAATATTTTAATGTTTTATTTTTTCATTTTATTGAGGTATTAGGACCTATACTGCACAACACACAATTATGCAAAAGCCTAAAATGGGGGATTTACATCATAACTAGAAGAACAACCTTGAAGCTCTAGGGCGAAGCTTACCGACCCTAAACTATCAAACTCGTTAACTGACGTCCTCTAAACTATCATTGATGGTTTAGTTGAGGTTTAGCCTTTGCTTCGTATTTCATCTTCCTTAAGATAATTCAAATGTTTATAGTCAATCGACCAAAACACTGCCTAACTCATAAAGGAAAAGAAGTCTCAAAGGAAAAATCCTAGGTTACTATGGAATTTTTGTCAATTTTGTTAAACAAAGTTAGAACACCTTAGATAACATGTAAAGTAAATTTAATGTATCATCTAATTCATCATCCCTGCAAAATAGAGTTAGCACACCCTATATAACATGAAAAGTAAATCTAAGGCGACATCCTATCTTTTGTCTTCAACAGCCAAGTAAAACAAACTTAACATAAAAAAATTGATTAGTTGTTATTTATTTTAATAAGAATCATTCGGTCAAGATGCCCATGATTTTCTGTCATCCCGAGTTTGTTGGTTTTCATGATCTACTTAGTCTGGAGAGGCGATCAAGCATGCTCCGACTTGAAAATTCTTGTTAGCGACCATAGGTTGTGTCCTCTAAGAGATCTTTGTAGACCCAGATAGTGGGTTTAAAGTTGCGTTTAGTGATCTTTGTTCATTAGGGATCTATTTAAGTTTATTATGTCTTTTTCAGATTTTAGGGGTTGAAAATTTTATGTTACTTAAGACTTCTTAGCCAATTAAAATTTTTGGGATTTTCATTTTGATTTTGATTTTGAAATGACCTGATCAGAATCTCATGGTTATGTCCTCCTAGGGTTATTGGGGTTTGTTGTTTGATTAGACACAAGCGATTAAAAGGTACTTTTTTAGCAGTCATGGGTTGCCTCCTCCAAAGTACCTTCTCAAATCAGGTTGCATCTTATGGTTGGAGTTTAAGTTTTAATGATTTTAAGATGCATTTTAAGTTATGTCTTTTATGTTCGTTCAACATGTCATCCCTAATAAGTGTTTATTGTGCATTTGTTCTCTTACAAGAATTCAAACACTCTTTTACTCCAGGCCATTTGAGTTCGAGTTGAATTAGGCTAGGTTGACCTAAATTTAGTTCAAGTTTATTTGGATTAACCCAAGTTGGGTTGAGCTTGATCTGAAATGAGTTTTTGGTCAACTTGAGATAACTCAGGTTAGGCTAGGTTGCCTCAGGCTGAATTGGTTTAATTCATCCCCAATTTGATTGATTTGCCTCATATTAAATTGGTTTGGGTCAATCCCAGTTTGGTTGGGTTGATCGGGGTTGGGTTTGGGTTGATTTGAGCTAACTCAGGCTAGGTCAGGCTACTTGACACCCCTAAAAATTACCTACTTTTTCATGTACATTTTATGCTCATTTTTAATGATATTGCACTTTAAGAAAAGGTATTTTGCATATTTTTGGTTTCAGGTACATGAAATAGAGTTTTGGAGAAAATGAAGTAAAAATGATGCAATTTAGAGTCAAATCGAGCAAGGATGAAAATTCTGATCTAGCGTAATTTGATATGTCTTTCTATGCTTAATCTCTTTACATTTATTACATGTTATTGAATAAAATTGTACTTTAAAGAAAGTTTATTTTCATGTTTATCTTGTAGGTACAACACTTGGAGCGTATTGGAACTGAGACGAGGCGAAACGGGCACAAAACGAGATGCTGCCAACAGGGTGGCGCCTAGGCGCCAGTCTCACCATGAAAGCAGTGCCTAAACAATAGAAACGATTAGGTTTAAACCTACCTTAAGAGATTTAAAAGATTAATTAAGTCTTAATATATGTTAGACTTAATTAGAATTTTTTGATTAATTAAGCCTAATTTAAGTAAGGCTTAAATTTTTAAATAGGTATAATTTGGGTTAAACCTAATTGGGGTTTAAAGCCAATTAAGCCTAATTTAGGTAAGGCTTAATGAATTAATTAGGTTTAATTAGGGTTAGACCTAATTAGGGTTTAAGGTTAAGTATCCTAATTTAGGTAAGACTTAATGAATTAATTAGGTCCAATTGAGGTTAGACCTAATTAGGGTTTAAGGTTGATTAAGCTTAATTTAGGTAAGGCTTATTTGATTAATTAGGTCTAATTAAGGTTAGACCTAGATAGGGTTTAATGTTGATTAATCCCAATTTAGGTAAGGCTTAAAGGATTAATTAGGTCTAATTAGGTAAGCCTAATTTAGGTAAGGCTTAATGGATTAATTAGATCTAATTGGACTTAGACCTAATTAAGGTTTAAAGTTAAGCCTAATTTAGTTAAGGCTTAATCGATTAATTAGGTCTGATTGGGGTGAGACCTAATTAGGGTTTAAAGTTGATTAAGCCTAATTTAGGTGTGGCTTAAGGGAATAATTAGGTCTAATTGGGGTTATAACTAATTAAGGTTTAATGTTAATTAAGCCTAATTTAGTTAAGACTTAATAGATTAATTAGGTTTAATTGGGGTTAGACCTAATTAGGCTTTAAATTCGATTAAGCCTAATTTAAGTAAGGCTTAAAAGAATAATTATGTCAAATTGGGGTTAGACCTAATTAAGGTTTAAGGTTAATTAAGCCTAATTTAGTTAAGACTTAATGAATTAATTAGGTCTAATTGGAGTTAGACCTAATAAGGGTTTAAGGTGTCTTTTAAGCCTAATTTAAGTTGGACTTAAAGTTTAATTAAATCTAATAGGGTTTAGACCTAATTAAGGTTTAAGATGTACTTAAGATTAATTTAGGTAAGGCTTAAGGGTTTAATTAGGTCGAATAAGGGTTAGACCTAATTATGATTTAAAATATACTTAATCCTAACTTAGATAATGTTTAAGGGTTTAAATAGGTTTAATAAGATTAAAATTAATTATGGTTTAAATATAATTAAACCTGATTTGGGTAAGGTTTAACGATTTGATCAAGTCTATTGTGGGTTAGACTTAATCATGGTTTTGGGTAATCTAAACCTAGGTCTTAGGATTGGATTAGGTATAACTAGTTGGACTCAATATCTAACCTAATTTTATGTCCAATTAGATCAACCTTAAGACATATAGTCCAAAATAAATTTTTGGGCTAAATTGTAAATTTTGTATTTACAAGTCAAACCCCCAAAGATCTAAGTTGTCATTTTAAACCTTTACAAAGGTTGGTTTTAGACATTATATTAAGTTAAACCATGTATTATTGATAATAAATAAATTGTAAGTTTTATGTTGTTTGTAATTATTTTTTCTCCTTTTTTTGATTGCTTTCGTTATTTTTTTTGTTTTGTGAGGTTCATGATGAAACGTTCGACCTTGTGGGTTATTTTAGTGTCACATGTCAAATCTTGATAAAGGAAACTAAGTCTCTCTTTTCTTTTTGATGCTGAGGTTTTTGAGATACTTATGGATGATATTTTTAGTCGTTGTTAATTGGTGTCACATGTGAAATCCTGATAAATGCAATCAAGTTTCTCTTTTCTTTTTGATGTTGAGGTTTCTAAGGTACTTCTAGATGACCTTTTATTGGTTATATGCATATGTGACACACACGAGCTTGATATTAAGTGAGTTAAAAACAACAAAAAATCCTTTGTTACGAGGCCAATTTTCTTCTTACAGCGATAGATTTGTTGGCTGGTATACTTTGTTTTCTGAGACCTCGCGACTGCAAAAAAATTGTAACTAACTACTTCTTTTAGCGATTTCAACTTCTGTTATGACTAATGTATTATCTTTTGAATCATTCATAAAAGATAAGCTCCAGAATTTTAGGGACCTCCAGATGACTGCTCGACCACTGCGGAATACAGTCTTCTTTACTGACGTCACATCAGGTACATATCTACAAGAGACCGTTCTACAGGTGCTCGTGAGTTATCACAGCTAAGTGAGACTTATTCTGGTGGGCAAACAATCTGATAGTTCTACAGGTGCCCGGGGAGTTGGATGGTATCCTTGGAGGACGACATAGCTCATGACATACACTGTCTTGATTTTAAAATTAATATTATCATATTTTAATTATAATTTTAATAATTTTTTTTTATCAATCTTGATATTCACTGTTAAGTAAGATATATATCTTATTTTTTGTTTTGTTCTGAAGTCGATTTTTTGCTTTTCAAGTATCAAATATATTTTCATGATAATACTGTTGCAAACAATATTACAACTTTTTAATAAGCTATAGCTGCCCCAAACAGTCCTTTAAAGAGGTTTTGACAACAATCAAGAGCTGTTTTTGAGTTAACATGGAAGAACATTTTATCAGGCAATTGTTGTAATGGTTGATTTTCACGATGACCATAAGAGAGAGGAGAACAATATGTGTTGTTACTGCTTTGCCATCAACCCGTGTTATTCCAATTGGCCGATGTAATGAAGGGAGACAAAGTACTTATGCGTATTTATGAGTTTAAAGTTTTTATTCTGTAAATATAAATGTTTTAAGTGTGATTTATGTAAATTTGTATGTTTTGAATAAGTCCAAAATATTATTATTTAAAAATAAATTTATTCATGATGTAAATAAATCTTCCTTTTACTTATTTTCCCTGAGGTACTGAGCTTCGCCCCTTACAAGGCTACGGCTCGCAATCATCACACACGCACACTCTCTCTCTTGGTTGCACGGGAATTCCCTGTGTCTAATTAAACCGGATCGCGAGGGAATCTTCCGAGTGATCGCCGGAGCGGTGCTTTCGGCGGTGGCGTAGCAAATAAACGGAAAAATGAGAATTCTTTGGTCTTCTTCCGCTTCCCACTTGCCATTCTGACTCTCTTCCTCCTCTCTGTTTTTCTATTTATATTATAGATATGTCCCACCCTCACTAGTGTTGCACCGTTCCATTTTGTTGATTGAGCTCGCTCGAAGCTTTTCGAGGAACAGAAGAGAAAAGGAGAGAGTTTAGGTGCAGCGGAGGATGATAGAGGGCGTACAGGATGGGAAATTGCGGAACAAGGGAGGAATCTGCAGTGGTTTCAGCGCATGCTCAAGGTCGGTTTTCTTGCTGTATTTTTTTTTTCTCATAATTATTACGCATTTTCTCCCCTTTTGTGGATTTTGTTTTGCCCTTTATTGTCATTCTAACGCATCAATTTGAATTTATTTGAGAGTCGCATTTTGGGATTTAGGTTTCTTATGGATATGATATTGGTACGATGAAGCTCGAAAGTTAGTTTTTTCATGAGATGTATGATTTTTCAAGTCGCTAGGGCTTTCAAATGCTATACTTTTCTCTTTACTTTTCATTTTTATGGTATCGTATTTGATACTGAAACAGCTCTTGCAAACATTCCTACTTTTAATCTTCGCTGTTTCATTTTTTCCTTTATTTCTTTTGCATCAAGGTTTTAATTGGAATGATTTGTGCTTAGAACTTGCATTTCTTTCACAGGATGTAATTTCTTAAGTTAGCGTTAAGTCAGAAGACTTAATCGCCGAGTACAGATCTTCCATTTGGTCAATTGCCGAGCTTAATAAGATGGCATTTTTTTATATATTAACTTTTCAAAAATTCTTGTTTTGAAATCTGTAGTCATAATTTTTTATCAAGTATTAAAGGGCTGGATCACCAAAAGTTCTTTTTTTTTTGTTTAAAAGATTTCCATTTGACAGTGCAACAGCTTCAGTTGTCGCAATTGGCTGGGAAGAACTCTTCATCTGAGAAAAAGCCTAATCGCTCCTTCTCGGACATGAGCGATCCCTCCACACCAAGGAATTTTGCGGACTCCAGCAATATTGCAATATACACAGATGTGATAGCATTCACATTATTCGAGCTGGAGACCATTACAAAGAGCTTCCGTTCAGATTATGTGCTTGGTGAAGGTGGATTTGGAACTGTTTACAAGGGATATATTGATGAGAATGTGAGGGTTGGCCTCAAATCTCTGCCTGTTGCTGTGAAGGTTCTGAACAAGCAAGGTCTTCAAGGACACAGAGAATGGCTTGTAAGTAGTTAGTAGTGTTTTGGAATTTACAGACATACCACCTAATTCCTATGTATTTACATATCCATCCCAACTAAATTTTACTTTTTACATTTATACCACAATCGTTTATATCACATAAAAAATACCACTATTTTAACTTTTTAAAAGTGAAATAGACTTTTTTATGCATGGGTAAGGTGGCATATCTGTAAAAATTGACGTTTAGGTATTATAAATATGAATGCATAGGAATTGAGCGATATGCATGTAAATCTTCCTTTTTTCTTTTGTTTTTGGTTTCTTTCACTTAGTATAGTCCTTTATGGATAATTTGACTGCTTTTGCTGATCTGCTTATTTTTTTGGACTTAATGAGGTTGCTATATCATTTTCACTTGGAGTGGGATTTTTTTTTTTTTTTTTTTTTTTTGTTGCACATATGAAATTGCTATATCATCTTATCGATGTCTTTTTAATTTCTCAATACTTGTCTGTCTTGATCCACTATATTTCACTATATTTTCTTTTCATAAAGAAAGTTGTCAATAGGGTTTTGAAGTTTTTATGTGAATTTGTTTTATTGTTTGATTTGTGTGCTGATAAATATTCTGGTTAACGTTTTAGTAATTTCTCTTTGCAGACAGAGGTTAAATTTCTAGGACAACTAAGGCATCCTAATCTAGTGAAGTTGATTGGATATTGCTGTGAGGATGATCACAGACTTCTTGTCTATGAGTTCATGTTTCGGGGCAGCCTTGAGAATCACTTGTTTCGAAGTAAATAACTCCGGCATTTTCTGTAACTTTTTATATATTTTTATTTTGTGCAAATTTCATTAACATATTTCCTATTTATAGGTTCATTTTTCAGCATCTTTAATCTCTTTATATTCTTGGTTAACATTTTATACCCTGTTTAATTTGTGGGTTTAATAATTAAATGCATCTTATGATTTATTTTGTGTTAATTTCTTTCAGTATAAGTTCTGTTTTAGCTGGCGCGTTAGAGCAACTTCCATTTATGTTATTCTTCACTCTTGTTTGGTTTTTTCTCTAGTTATTTTGAGTAAATGGAAGCAACAAATGTTCAATTGTCAAGTCAATTCAACATATAAAAATGAGTCACATAGGATCTATTCAATATATTGTGAATGAAAATTTGTTAAGGTTTTTGAAATAACAGAGGCATGGAAAAAGGAGAAAAAAAGAAAGTTTGCTATAAAGTACGAACTGATATGAGGTAGATAAAGTTAATCTTGTTTGATCAATGATGGAATATGATGAATTCTGCTGGGATATTGGAAAACCTGCTTATTTTTTACTTTTTAACTATGATAGCTGGTGCGGAACTCATTGCATTTTTTTTATTGCAATCTATGATGTACATTTTCCTTCCCTTATGGATGAGAGATAATCCATGAGCAGGCTAATAATATTATTCTTGGGCTTGTCCAATTATTGGTCCTTTTATTGGACTTCGGATAAAATGGAAATTTCAATAATTTTTTTTCTTTTGATGAACTTGATAATAACGAAAATTGATTATATTATAATGCTTATTACTATTTTGAACTTAACCCTGCTTTCCCATAAACTAAGTTTTCTGTTTATTGAAATCCTAAAAGCATAGTTATTTACTTTCATTATGATGTTTAGGGTCCGACCTCTAGATTTTTGGAACACCATCTTTTATTCCTTCTTTCTTTTTTAACATTTTTTCAAATATTATGGGTTGGATCAGTAAATCTGGTGATGTTTGTAGGATATTGAAGTAGAAGGCACACTTTTATTTGCTATTTTTGTATGATGGATGAGGGAAGTGATTGTTTTTTAATTGAAGCAAAATTTATAACTAGTCAATGAAAGGAGTGCGATAGTTGGCAATTGCAATGAATTGCTAGTTGGATAAAAAACCAACATACATCAACGATATAAGCGGCCATCTGATGAAAAAGAAGAATCCCCATAGATTCATTTAAAGTATCTTGCTTGAAGTACGGTAAATTTAGTGTGTGATGATGATGATGATGGTGATGTTATGTATATATATATATATATATCTATATAAAAGCTGCTTTTGATGAAGAAGTTTTGAATCCTTTTGTTCATTTGATCGGTGAGTTCACTAGGGGATATGTTAAATAACTTTGGTAAGTAATTTGAGAGCACATCATGTTAGCAACTCTTAGTATTAGGAGATGTAACTTCCTTCCTAGGAAGACAGACTCATCAAAATGAGTGCCAAAGGTAGATGAGATATTTAGGTTATTAGAATACTTATCCAAGGTATACGGGACTAGACGCATCATAATATATATGGGGGACATTAGGATGCCACTTTTGATGAAGAAGTTTTGAAACATTTTGTTCATTTGATCGTTGAGTTCACTAGGGGTTATGTTAAATAACTCTAGTAAGTAATTTGAGCGCTCATCATGTTAGCGTCTCTTAGTATGAGGAGATGTAACTTCCTTCCTAAAAGACAGGCTCATCAAAATGAGGGCCTAAGGTAGATATTTAGGCTATTACAATACTTATCCAAGGTATATGGAACTAGATGCATCATAATATATTTTGGGGGCATTAAAATGTGTGCTTAATATAAGTGGGTATGTAGGAGCGTTATAAATTGTCACTAAGATAAAGGGAAAATTAACACAGGACTCCCTCACAATCAACTAGAATTGTGCATTTTTCTTGTGATTGGAGTCATGTAGGAGTTCATCACTTGATTCATGGGATGCACGTTATCTTATTTTCATTGGCTTGGTAGGGAATAATTTGATAATCTTCTTGTTATGTCTGATTACATAAATATTTTCTCAATTACAGTAATTAATATCTATCTCATATAACAAAAGCTTCTCTAAAAGAAAATGTGCTATGTTCATAGGGAAGACATCACACTAAATGTAAGCTTCATAACTTTCTAGCTTGATGAGAACAAGGCATTTAATTGTAATTGGCAAGGATGTGTTATTTTCCAACTAATATGAAGTTGATAAGGATGCAATAGACTGTAGATTAGTCTTAATAATTGTTTGAATAGATGTGGCATTCATTACACCACCACTTTCAATAATTCTTTTGCACATTTTCTCATAGCCTGTGATATATTTTCAAGAAGTATTCCTTATTTTCCAAACTTCATAACTAAATTTGAAGTAGAAATACATTTCCTGACAACGAAAAATGTCACAGGTGGACTCAATAATATGTGGCAAACCAAGTTGGATTGGATTGTAATAGAACTTTAAATTCATATCAAACATAAATCATCAGAGTCACTCCCATTGATTATACAATTCTCTTTAAGGCTTAAACATCTAATATCTATTTGGAAGAAATTTAAATAAAATTTAAATTATGTATAAACCAATATAAAGCACGAACAAATCGTCAGAGAATAGTGCAAGCACAAGCAATCAAACGACAACTATATTATACAATTGATCTCTCTAGGGCAAGTTAATCATGTGCAATTATCATGTACTATAATAAGTATCAATAAAATAAAATTTATTATAACTACAGAAGAGATCATTTGCTGTTATTCAAAGCCACAACCACTAATAGGAAAACTTTGGGCTATTGCACTGGACCTTCCCTTGAAACTAAAACACATACAAATGCAACCAGGTAAGTGATAAGCATAGCATGTTACAGAACCTCAATGTATGAAAATGAAAGCAATATATATATTTGTAGGTTATAGTAATAAAATTAGCAAACAAAATTTATGTGATTGACATGACATTTATAATAAAATTTAGGTGCAGATGGTTTTATTAAATATAACATATCTTGGAGTGATAATTCATATGTTATGCTAGGAAATATTGCATAATGATATGACACTAAGAATGAAATATTGGTGTAGATATTATTAAATGTAATACATACATACATCGCATACATACATACATACATACATACATACATCACATACAGACAGACACAGACATACATACATACATAGATACATACATACATAGATACATACATACGTACATACATCGCATACATACATACATACATCCATCCCTCCACACACACACACACACACACACACACACACACACACACACACACATACATTCATTCATTCATTTAACGCACTGTCGGCACAAAAAAGAAGAGGTTGTGTGGGGGTCGTCCGTAAGAAGCTGTCGGCAGCCGGAATTGAAATCTCATCGCCCGCTTCGGAAGGACGTTTTAATTTAAAAAATATGAAATCAAACTAAGCTCATATTTTTCACAGTTTAAATGAAAGAGCGCTCTATCTCAAATCCTGTATCTATCCCAAGGGATAAACACTAGACTTGAGGATGAGACTCGATCAAATAAATTAAGAAAACATATGACATCTGTTTGGGTTTGCGAAACCGTTTTATTTGCCGACAAGTTCCCCTATTTAATATAAATAATTAAATAGGGTTTATTTTAAGCTGGGTTCGGAAAAACTTCCTATAAGGGCAAGCCCCTATAGTTAATTACATCTT